CACTTTGCCAACGTTTGAGAATGTATCAAGTCCACTGTCAGCTGCTGCTATGACAGACGACTTCGGACTCGGTGCGTTCTACATAGTCCCCATGACAACAAGAGCAAGTTGCGACAACGAGGTCAACCCACTTGTATGACTCGAAAGGAGACTGCGACCATAACAGAGGCCACAACATCTAGGTCTTCATTTCTTCAAATTTCTTTTGCTCTTCGGTGTTGTCCTTTTGTCCATTTTATTACACGAAATGGAGAGTTACTGTCTCATTTCGCCTCATTTGTTATCTTCCTCATGGCGGCCTAAATGGGGCCATCCTGTCCGATATTGGAGCAATTTTACCTTTCGTTCGAAGACGCGAGTGGAATGGATTCGTGAGTTGGCCTTACCAGACGCTGTGACTGTAGATTTGTGCGGATGGGTTCTCGGCCCACTGGCCATGCGACCCCGATGACTTGTGCTGCGTTGTCCTCCGTCATGTGGCGGACATCGCCACGGTAGGACACCATTCCTATTGATAATGCATCAAAAGACAAAGACAATGAAAGCGGGAAAAGACAGAAGAAGGATCCTTCTTGTCCCGTTGTGTTTTGCCCAATTGTCTGTAAGCATGCTGTCCCGCTGTGACGGTGTTTTAAACTACCCCACCGACGACAGTTCAGCGAGCATTCAGCCGGGCTGCAGCGCGTTGCGCCGAGCAACTATTCGCACAAATCGACAATCACAGCCGCCCACAGCTTGCGCTGAGGCCGACACTCACCTCACCTCACCTCACCTCTTCAAGCCAAATTAAAGGTACAGCAACATGAGTTTATTGAGGGACTCTTGGAGACACAGTTTTTTCGCATATCCTGTCCGATATCTGACAGGTTGCAGCATCATATCGTCGACTTTGTGCATTTCCACACATTTCGCCTTAACGGGGTGCAGCCAAGACAGCCGATTCTGGTGTCTGCGAGGCGTCTTGCGAAGGTACACCTTTCACAGGACTTCCAAGAAGATGTGTCCGGCCAGTCGGGCTGTGAAAATGAGGCGAAACCAATCTTTACAGAGCCTCTTCCATCCGCTATTCTGGCGATAAAGGAATTTCTTCCATACGGCTGTTGTAATCGAGGTCACGTGCCTCAGTGGGTCTGCATGTTTGTGTTTGTGTGTGTGTGTGTGTGTGGAAGAGAGGGGGAGAAAATGTGTGTGCGAGTGTATGCGATTGAAAGAGTGTCTGCGTGCATGTTGATTTGTTCTGTGTCAAGGCCATTTGTGAGTTTGCCTGCGACAGAGTTCGAGTCAGGATGTGAGTGCTATTGTGCTTGTCGGTGCGTGTGTGCACGCCTGTTTGCGTGAGTGCAAGTAGGCATTTGTGAAAAACCGGTCATTTACGAGCACCGAAGAGGTGTATCGAACTCGGCTCGCGTTTATTGCTTTGCCTGCTCTGCTGCTGCTTGCTCTTTGCTCCGTAATTCGGCTGGCGGGTGCATGGCCGGCGGCACTCATGCACAGCCGCCGCCGCATCCGCCGCATGGCGACACTGGCCTGTCGGGTGAGTGCGCGGCCCGATCAGGCAAAGTTAGCACCGGCCTCTGACCGAATCGGCTCAAACCAATCGTGCCAGACGAGCATCGAGGTCCGCTTTAACAGCCCCAGTTGACCTGGCGCTCACTTGTGCACATCTACATTGACGCACGTGCACGCGTGCATACACAGCGACAGACACGCCTGCTCACAGCCTCCGCAGCCAGCCGGTTGGGCATTCTCGCC